TTATTATAAGCTAATTTTATAAGTATATTTTATTATATTTATTAATAAGTATTAATATAATAAAATTATAAGTAAGTAGCTATAAGTTCTCTATATTATTATAGCTTTTTTATTTAATTAAGTATTTATACTTTTTGCTATTATATTTATATATAATAATTTGCTCTATATTATATATATTATTCTCTTTTAGCATAATATCTAGCAGCTATATAGTTACTATAGTATTATATATATCTCTCTTAAAAGATTTAAGCTATAAAATATAGAAAATATTATAAATTTATATATTTAGTAGAAGCTATAGCTTATATATTAATTTCTAATTTCTAATTTTTAATAGTACTTTATAAAGTTTTAAATACTTAAAGGCAAGTTTATAGCTTAGCTATTTAAAGTTAATATTTCTTATTAATAATAATATAAAATTACTAGCTTTAAACTATCTAATTTTCTATTTATAATTATACTATTTAGCTTATATAGTTTATATACTATATAGTAGCTACTTAGTAGCTATATACTTAGTTTATAGTTTTAGTACTTTATTTTTAGCTTATTTATTAATAATTAGTAATAGTACTACTATATAGTATAGCTTATAAAAAGTAAATTCTTATAGTATTTCTATATGTAAGTAGTTATAACTACTATAGTAGTTTATATTATATATATACTAAGCTAGTAGAAGTTATTCTAGCTAATTTACTTATTTATAGCTTTTAAAAGCTTATAAATAATATTTTAATAATTAGTTTTAGTATTTTATTTAGCTATTTATTTATAAGTAGAAAGTAGTACTTAGTTACTACTTAGTTGCTAGAAAGTAGTAAAAAGTTCTTTAAAACCTACTTATAAAAGTTAATTCTTAATTAGTTATAATTTCTTTAAGTAAACTATAATTTTAAAATATTTTTTATAAAAAAATTATAGCTAGGCTATTACTAATAATAGTCTTTATAATAAGCTTATAAATTATATACTTAGAAAATTAGTTAATAATTATAAAAATTAAATTAAATATTTTATTTTTATATATATAAATAGAAAGTAGCTTTATAATAAAATTTATTGATATCTTCTAGAAAAAGTAATTTAGTACTAGTAGTATAGCTAGTTTACTATAAAGTTTATATAGCTTTAGTTTAAATAATTAGTAATTAATATATTATATAATATACTTCTTAATATTACTTTTTATATTTTACTAAAAATACTAAAATATAACTTACTATTAAGATATAACTTACTTTAGTATTTTAGTTATACTTTAGTAACTTATAGTAATATTATTATAAACTAGTAAGAGAATCTTCTTTCTAAGGCTTAAAGAGATATAAATATAATTCTTATAGTAAAATAAGCTCTTTATGCCTTTATACTAGTTGTTCTTCTTAAAAGCTAAATTACTACTAGCTAGTAGCTCTTTCTATTAGTAAATAAAGGTATTTTCTTATTACTCTTTAAATAATAACTTAAATAGTAATAAAGCTATCTTTATAGCTTACTTATTATTATTTTTCTAACTTAATTTAGTAGAGGCTACTTTGAATACTATTAACCTAGCTATAGTACTATAGCTAAAGTACTATAATTTATATAGTATACTCTTTCTTTTAGTAGTAATACTTTATAGTCTTTTATAAAGTAGCTCTATATTACTAAGATTATAAATATAGCTCTTTACTATATTACTAAGATTATAAGTAGTACTTAGCTGCTTACTTATAGTAAACTTTTAGAGAAAGAGAAGTAGTTATAAAGCCTTTACTTATACTATCTTGCCTTATTAGCAAATTAAGAGACTCTTTATAATATAATAAATAATAAATATAGATGTAATAAATAGAGCTTATGTAATCTAGTTAATTACTAAGCATAAGATAATAAGGATTCTTAAGGTATAATAAAAGTAACTTTAGATATAGTATAAAATTGTATGTAATAGTATATATAATAAAAGTAACTT